TGATAGTAAACTCTGTTTTTCTTTATAAGAAAATATATTTATTTCTCATCCTTAAAAAATTTCTTCATTGGGTATTCTAGTTAAGACTTAGATTTTCTTCTGCCACTTTGAAGATAACTACTGTCAGTTTACAGGTACATGAGTATAACTGATCCTTGAACTTGTGGAGAGATGCTCGAACTCTTCATAATTAAAGAAATGCAAGTGAAAATGAAAAGAAGATAACCGCTATCATCTGACCGCAGTTATGGCTGCTGAGAAATTAGCTGCCAGTCTGATGCTGATCTCTTTTCTGGCTGCCTTCATAATACTGTGGTTGCTTTTGGTATTCTGTAGTATCATTTCAATGTATCTAGATGTGGAATATAGTTGACTCTTGGACAATGCAGGGGTTAGTGGTGCTGACCCCTCTGCATGGTCAAAAATCCATATATAATTTCTGACTCCCCCAAAACTTACCTACTAATAGCCTACTATTGGCCAGAAGCTTTACTAATAAAATAAACAGGCAATTCATAGTTATTTTGTATGCTATATGTATTATATGTTGTATTCTTACCATAGAGTAAGCCTGAGAAAAGAAAATGCTATTACGAAAATCATAAGGAAGAGAAAGTCTATTTACCATTGATTAAGTGGAATATGTGGATAAAGGTCCTCATCCTTGTCATCTTTACATTGAGTTGGCTGAGGAGAAGAAAGAGGAAGGGTTGGTCTTGCATTTCAAGGGCGGCAGAGGCAGAATAAAGTTCATGTATAAGTGTACCCATGCAGTTCAAACCTGTGTCGTTCAAGGGTCAACTGTACTGTTGGTTTCTTCTGCTTGGGATGTAGTGTGTTTCTGCATCTTTGGATTGGTGTCTTTCATTAGTTCTAGAAAAACTCTGGCCATTGTGTCTCAAAATTGCCTCTCCTCCATTCTCTATTCCCTCCTTCTAGGATGTCCATTAGACTTGTGTTCAACCTTCTCCTGTGCTTCATGCCTCTTAATGGCCTTTGAATAATTTCTATCTCTTTATCTTTCTCTCTGTACTGCATTCTGATCATTTTTTTTCATAAGTCTTGTCAGGTCAGTAATTCTCTATTCAGCTATATAAATCTGTGGATTAATCTGTCCATTGAGTTTTCAGTTTTAATGATTTTATACTGCTGTTGTTTTGTAATTCTCTTTGGCTAGTTTGCAAATCTTGCTGGTCATTTTCTTAAAGTCTCTTTTTGTTTTTTCGTTTTGATATTTCATATTTTATTATTTGAAATATTCTACATGTAGTAATATTCTATGTTTAAGAATATTAGATATTTGGTAATCGAGGGTGTAATTCTTTTATCATTTATGCCAACTCTCACTTACATTGTTTTTGTTTTCTTGTGTTTGAAAAAATTTTTGTGTGAACTTATATTTGATACAATTTAATTTATAACAATATCGAGGGCTCAAACTGAATGAGAGCTTTCCTACAAAGAGGATTTGTATTTCTTGTGTCCTGGAGCTTGGGATTAGGACTGACCTGGGACTGCTTTAGCAGTCTTTAAGGATCTTGACTTATTACACAAGTGTTAGGTTCAGCTGCTCCACCATGCGACGGCCCTGGTGCTCAATCTCTGGTTCTAGAGGTCTGCTCTAGAACCTGCTCCCAGGGCAACCCTGACTTGTGTATGTGCTTGCCACTTACTATTTTGATGTTATATTTCCTTCCTTTTTTCCTTCCTTCCCTTCCTCCTTGTATGTATGTATGTATGTGTGTGTATCTATGTACTTTCTTGGGATATTTTCTTTAAATTTTTGGTGGTCATAATGCATTGTAAGAGTGTTGTATTTACCCGGGATCTTGTTGTATTTAAGCAAGAAGACCTTGCAGAATATGTGCTATGAGCAGAAAAATTGATCTCTTTAGAGAATGTCCCCAGTTCCTTGTCTCCTTTCAGTTACAGCTAACTTGGGCCTAAGTGTAAAATGAGACCTGGGACTACTCTACTCTTGGTTTATGGGTTACAGGCGTACAATGGTGCCGTGATACCCAGCACCCTTTCACATTCTACCTAATGATCTTTTTTTTGGACCGATCAGCCTGAGGTCATTGGCCAGAGGTGTATCTTCAAAATATAGTACTGCATAGGTAAATGATGATTTTTTTTTTTAAAGAAACAGATGGGACCCAACATTTGGATATTCAACTCTTTTAAAAGACATGTTTTTCAGCTAACGTACATCATTTACAACATTTCTTAAAAGAAAAAACATAACCTATTGCTTCTAAAATCTTCTTGTTCTTTTATATCGGATATGATGTTGCCATCATTTGCTTCTTGAAAATCAAGCTTGAGTCTAATATTTATTTTTGCACCTAGTCACATCTAGCATGTAATAAGCTTTCCTGGAATTGAATCGCATCTTCTAGATGGTTTGGTAGAGATCTGGGTATGGCATTTACGGATGTTCCATCAAATAGCATTTTCAATCTCCTGACAGGTCAGTCTTTAATTAGCAGAGTAGTTATTTGGTTCAAATTATAGATCCAAATCATGGACTTTAGGGATACTTTCTGAAAACTGCTTTCTTGTCCTAGGTCTAATCATTGACACTGCATCTTTTTCACATTATTGTTGAGCAGTTACTGTAATTACATGGGAGAGTCTCACAAGGATGGAAAGTGGAGATAGAAGTGGGTTTTATTTGGTGTTAATCAAGACAGTCTTTAGTGTTTTTGTTTCACTGGATAGAGGCTATTGAAAGAAATGTGCGAGGCACTAAGCATTTCCCAATGAATAGTGTTAAGAGGGTCTTTCAATGTGAACATTTCCTAAATTTTATCTCTTAAAAAATAACCTTACAAAACAAATCAAAATTTCTTAGGGAAATTACAGAGCCTTTATATCAAGAAAATAGCAACAGGATGCATTGTAGAAGGTTATATATCGTTCATTGCTCAGGTGCACACGGAATGACAGGAAACAACGTATCATCTGCTTTTTCTTACTTTTAAGAGACTGTTCTGTTTTTTTAAAATCTTGCCTAGTGTTCTGATCCTCTTGGTTATAACCGTAAGAAAATCTAATGAGCATTAGGTAGGCCATCTGCCCTAACATCACAAATGAGGGAAAAGTAGAATTTACCTGGGGAACCTCATCTCTTTTCTGATGAAAAATGATAATTAATCCATGACTGGTTGAAATGTAATGTTGAGTGGGTGAATAGCAAAGGGCACGTGAGATTTGGGGAGCTGACTGCATGCTTCCTAAAACTCAGCATGTACAACACATTGTTTAAACACAAAAAGGTCCTCTGCTGGTTATCTGCCAGGGTCATGCAAGGTAAGAATAACTAAAATTTATATATTTAGGACAATTCTTGAGAAAGCCATCTCCTGTAGACTTTTAAGATGCTAAAGCAAACAAATAAATGTAAGAGCTATAGCAGGTGAAATTACTTAGGATATAAATGATTTCAACAAGCTTGGGAATTTACAAAATATAGGAAGCAGGATGTTTCTTGAGAATGTGGCCTAAAACACTTCCGACAAGGGCCAGGCTTGGGCTACTCTCTGGATATGTGTCCTAATCCATACTTCTTTAGGGAACTTCTCCTCAGACTGTCTATCTGAAAATCTCTTCTTTGGGAAGGATGCAGTGACCTTCTTCCTGCTGTAGTACAAGTGACTAATAAGCTTCATGGGTTTCCTCCTCTTGGTTTATAACTGGAGATAATCTTTAAGTCAATGGAAGGCAGCCGCAGTTGTGTAATAGCTAAGTGTCTCCTTTGAGGAGGTGGTGAAGAGTTCTAAGTGCTGTTTAGAGTTGTAAAGCTTTTCCTGTGGTGTATGTATGTAATATAGCATCCCCAGTTGCTGGTGCTATGATGAGGCAGGTGAGACTGATGATGGACTTTATGCAGCCTTCTTGATGGGGCTTTGTAGGCAGAGCAGAGAGCCTGTGTAATTCATCTTTGTATTGTTCATTCTAATTCATTGCCTGGTGCAAGGTAGAAGCTCTGTAAGCACTGGCTGTTGAATGGAGGTCAACCTGGGACCTGTCAACAGGGCTGGCGTATCTGGGAATGAAGAAGGTGGAAGTATACACACAGGTGCCTAGACGTCTGCTTCCACTTCATCCCAGGTCCTCACCTTTGCCAGGAGGCTGGGCACTGCAGGCTTTGTGCTCCAATTAAGTGGACACATCCCCCTCTTTCCTGTAGGTCCCTAAGAGGCCAAGTGGACCAGAACTCCAAATGACAGCTTTTTTTCCCTCCAGTTCTTAAGTCTGTGGCTTTCTGAGCCTTGGATTGATCAGGACACAGAGGAAGCTTTGTTCCCTCAGGAGGCTGTTGCTGAGGATAGTTTGTGCCAATCTACTGATCTTTCCCCTAGCCTTCACTCTCAATATGGCAAATTTCCAGATGTGTGACATTTTTATTATTCTAGGGGAAAAAACCCTTTAAATGCCTTTTGAAGTGGAGGAGAAGAGGACAGAGTGGTTTGGCTTGGGTCCTATAGCCATATCATAATGAGTCTTTATTTAGGCATGTATCCATGGAGTAATTAATCCAGGAGGGACAAAAGTTAGTTATTTCTCTTAGGTACCTGACAAGTTCTGTTTTATACCTGGAGGTAAAGTTCAAGATGCATGTTCATAACCAAAAACTTCTGCATCTAAAAGAGGGTATTAGGCCTAGCCCACTAACTAATAACAGAGCTGGATTAAGTGACTTTCTGTGACTGAGGAAAGGAGTATTGACTGCATTTGCCTTCCTAATTCCTGCAGACACTAAAAATGTGTATCAGCTCCACTACATCCTGCCAAATCTTTCTACCCAAGCACAAGAGGATGCTGTACAAAATCTGAGTCTTTCTTGTACCTGGTTTGTGGTTATGAAAGGTTATTAAGCCTAAGGACCTCTTTACAATGTGTCCCCAGCCTAAAACCCCCTACTTACTTAAAATCTCTTTATCCCAAATGTCTACAGTATCAGTCGTAATGATACCTTTTCATGTTCATTTGTTTAGATATGCCACACTTCTGCAGGCCTTTGGCAACCCTCCTGGACTAGGCTGCTCTTGTTAATCACATGGATGTTGTGAGTATTATGTTCACAAGTGGATGTAGACAAGATATTTTTATTTAACTATAAATCTTCACCACATGAGCTACTCATGCTTAGCAAAAATATATTAAGCATTTGTGATCTGGAGTTTCATTAATCTCAGAGATTACGCTGCTTGTTCATTGGTTAAATAATGTGGTTTCAGTATCTTCCCTTAATCATATTGACTTTTTATGAAAGAACTTTTGACATAAAGCTGTGTCCCAGAATGTTTTGACATAGAGGTAGCTGCTGAATTTAATTTGCGATTGTGGATTCATTTCATCTTGTATGCTTTTACGTTATAGGTTTCTTAATGCCGTCAACGTGAAACTGCTTCAGATGGCTTTGAGCCCTAATTTGTGGTTCTGTTCACTGAAGATAAGCAGCAATTTTTTGTTGATTTTATTTTCTTATGGATCACCAATAGGCCTAAATAACCTCCTTAGTTGTACTGGCAGGAATGAGTAAAAAGACACGGGATAAGGAGGAGGGAAGGAAAAAAGGAAAGAAAGAAAGAGCGAGCAAGTATGAGAAAGAAAAAGAGGAGGGAAAGAGGAAAGAGAGAAGTGTCTTGGGAAGGTGATATAGGTCACTAATTACTTTAGAGCTGCAAGCTTTCTGCACAATAATTTATTTGTAAGCCCAGAGTTAGAAAGGGACCATCTTCAGAATTTCAAAAGCAAGTATATAGTGGGCTTGTGTGGCTGGTCAGCACCACTTTTCTCCTCCCTAACTTTAATGATCAAAGGATGAGAAAGTTGTCAGATCTCTTTCTGGATCTTAAGTCAGTCTCCTGTGTGACTGATTTGAAGAGTCATAGTGAAAATTTCCCAACATAAAGCAAAGGACATCTGACCAGCAAAGTCTTTGGGAGTTAAAACAGAATGAGAGGCTAGAAAGAATTGATGATGAAAATACTTCTTTCAAAGAGAGAAGCATCTCAGAAAAATCCACAGAACCACAGAATCTTAGACAGCACTCTCAGATGATTGTATTAGTCATGTTATTTGTGCTTTTTTTTTTTTTTTTTTTAATGGAGAAACTGAGACTGGGAGAGGGGAAGAGACATGCCAAAGCTGCTCAGTATGGGGCTGAGCAAAGCCATGCAGCCTGGGTCCTTTTTATACTGTCATGCTCACTTTTTTTTTTTTTTTAAACAATCATAGGCAAGTCAGGGCTGGTTGCATATCATCAAATGAAATGGGGCAGACAGAATTTATTTCACTGAATGATTAAAGAAGAGCTGGGCCTAACATGAAGTTTAGTTTTTGGGGGTTTTGAAAAGGTAAATTTTTCAGGGCCATGCCAGATTCCCTGTGTGCAGGAAACAGAAGCAGCATTTCAGATGGAATGCAGGGAACCTGGGACAAATTTTCCTTCCTTTCTGCCCTTTGGCTTTAGGTGCTGGAAAGGGAGTCGGTGAAGCCAGAGTAAATCTCTTTCACTTCAAAATCATAACTAGGCATTGCTGTTGATTTCTCCTCCCTTTGGGAAACTCTTAGAGAATATTTCTGGGAACCATAGAGAGTGGGTGTCTCAAGAGCATCAGAACCACTAAGTTGAAATACATTCACACGTTGGTCTGTAAGGTATAGTCCTAGATGTATTACCGCAGGATTAGCAGAACTTCTTGGGGCACTTGCTTCAATTGACGTTGACTTTTTGTAGAGCCCTTTTCTTTGCTAGAATCAAGGAGAAGAGGAGGTCAGAGAGTGTTCTTTCTACCTTCATTGTGCTTTGGTGTCAGTATGGAGATGCACAGGGAGAGCTAAAAGAGTGAAATGAAGAAAATCCATTTAGCAAATATTTATTGCATGCCTACTTGGACTCACCTTTCATGTACCATGATTTGGTTTCGGTTTGGGCAAAAGGAAAGGGACACAGAAAGGTACATAGGTTAACGACAAGTGAAACATGATTGCTTAGGTCCTTTCTCCAGGCAAGGGGTTAGAGGCAGCTTGATTTCTCAACCCCTGGCAGCTCTAGTGGGTGCAGGGCCAAAGCCCCACATTTTGCCTCCTTCTTCTTTTCCACAGATGGAAGTGAAGTGAACTCATTGGCAGCTACACACCAAGGAGGAGAAAGGCTTTGAAGCGCTTTTAGAGCTACTTAGCAAGGAGAGTTACTGCTAAAGACTGGGGACAACGTATTTCCATCTTACAGATGTGCAGTTTGTTAACTGCGCTTGGCCTTGCCCCATTAAATTAGCCTTCCGTTCGTGGTAGCTTGTTGAATGAATTGCTAGGGCTCTGCGTCATTGCTGCTTGGCAGGCAGTTTAGTAGGACACTTTGGTAGCAAGCACCAAAACAGAATACAGAGACTTCGAGTGTCTCAACGTCTGCCCAAAGCCCTCAGCTCCTGGGAACTGATGCTATTATTTATTTATTAAAATTTTTTTTTCTATGGTGCATTCCATTGTAGTGACAGACCAAGAACAATTATGGATCAGGAACTGTACTGCTTATTTAATTATATTTCAGAGTTTTCTTTTTACTAGGTTCTAGATCTCCAGTGAATTAAGTGGCCCACAGCCTCTCATTTCTATGTATGTCTGGGTTGCTTCCTCTTGAGCCAGACTTAGGATTCAAAGGGTCCCATAGACTCTTATTCAGGACAGTGAATGTCTTTGGCTACAGAGATTCTAAACTGCGAAGTAACCTTGGGAAACTGGGGCTCTGTGGTCAGTTTAATGAGGTACTAAGACCCAGGAAAAGTACTAAGGCTCTGTGGTCAGTTTAATGAGGTACTAAGACTCAGGAAAGGTACTAAGCAATATATTCATTAATATCATTTTATTAAAAATCACTGGGTCTTAGTATCTTTCCTTCTTTTCTGCCCTTTGGCTTTAGGTGCTGGAAAGGGAGTCGGTGAAGCCAGAGTAAATCTCTTTCACTTCAAAATCATAACTAGGCATTGCTGTTGATTTCTCCTCCCTTTGGGAAACTCTTAGAGAATATTTCTGGGAACCATAGAGAGTGGGTGTCTCAAGAGCATCAGAACCACTAAGTTGAAATACATTCACACGTTGGTCTGTAAGGTATAGTCCTAGATGTATTACTGCAGGATTAGTAGAGCTTCTTGGGGCACTTGCTTCAATTGACATTGACTTTTTGCAGAGTCCTTTTCTTTGCTAGAATCAAGGAGAAGAGGAGGTTAGAGAATATTCTTTCTACCTTCATTGTGCTTTGGTGTCAGTATGGAGATGCACAGGGAGAATGTATGTGAGCTAAAAGAGTAAAATAAAGAAAATCCATTTAGCAGGTATTTATTGAATGCCTGCTTGGTGCCAGATGCTGTAGATATGGTAGTGAACAAATCACTGTTCCTGTTCTCTGGGGATATGTTGTATTGAGGGGAGAGGACAGACCAATAGACAATATGTTTCTCATGTTGGCAAATGCTGTACAAAAACAAATAAATGAAGGAGGGTGAGGAAGAAGGAAGGAAGAGTAAGCAAAGCAAGCCGGCAGGGAAGCGGGGTGGGGAATGCTGGGGTTATTATTTTGTGAAGTATGTTTCCGAGAAGGGGACATTGAGCAGACATCTGAAGAAAGGAGAGAGAGCCCTGTGTAGTTGAGCTGGAGAAGGATCGGGCATAAGGCTCAGTGGGATGGAGTCAGCTTCTCCCTGCGGCTCTTCTCTGCAGTCACATCTTACTACCTCGGCCGCTTCTGATTTGTAAGTTGGCTATTCTCATTTTAACCATAGTTTTATGAGGTGGCCACTATTAGATGAAAATTATGCCTAGAATGTGCTTTATTAAAGCAGTTCTTGCTGTTTTTGTTGTTAAGCTCCAAATCCATCATATCTCAATTACATGGAATTCTGATTTTTTAGAAGGCTGCAAAAAAGACTCTAGCTTACCAAACTCTTTATCGCTTCTAAGGTATCTATAGGCCTGGAAAACTATTCCTTGGGGGATGGGAATGCTCACATAAATGTAGAGTTGTTTTACTGCCCCTGCAATTCAGATCGCTAGAGAGTATTCATCTGAAATAAAAGTAGGTTTGCTTGGGGATAGATTTGAATCAATGATATAACTTGAAGTTATGCCAACAACCCCATTCTCTCATAGTATATGATGTGGCAGAGGGAAAAGTTGGTATAGGAGGAGGCAAAGGAATGCAAGAGCTTTGCATTAGTCAAATCTGGAAGCAAGCCAGGATCCATCTTGAGACCGTGTAGTCAATCTGGGTTGTCAATCACTGTCTACCAGCCCAGGGCTACTTGATCAAGGTCTTTGGAATTGTTGTGCTGGAGTGAAGAATAGTGAGGCATGCAAGGTTAAGAATACGCTATATTCATAAAATATTTTTAAAACAAAGTTATTTTAGAATCATGGAAAATATTTACAGCAACCATCAACTGTTTGAAGATTACTTGTAGGGCCGGGTGCAGTGACTCATGCCTGTAATCCCAGCACTTTGGGAGGCTGAGATAGGCAGATCACTTGAGGTCAGGAGTTCAAGACCAGCCCGGCCAATATGGTGAAACCCCGTCTCTACTAAAAATACAAAAATTAGCCTTGCATGGTGGTGCATGCCTGTAATCCCAGCTACCTGGGAGGCTGAGGCACGAGAATTGCTTGAACCTGGGAGGCAGAGGTTGTAATGTCAAGATTGCGCCACTGCTCTCCAGCCTGGATGAGAGAGCAAGGCTTTGTCTCAGAAAAAAAAAAAAAAAAATGACTTGTAGTTATGACTGATTTCCCCAGGGTCCCTTTATAATGTCAATTGTAAACTATTTTTTTTGTAAGTTTTGGGAATTCCTTTGTTAAAAGGATATTGTTTAGTGAGCTTTGTGTGTATATTTAAATATGGGTAGGTATAAATAAAGAAATGTATATTTTTGACTGGGCACAGTTGCTCACACTTGTTATTCCAGCACTTTGAGAGCCCAAGGTGGGTGGATCACCTCAGGTCAGGAGTTCAAGACCAGCCTGGCCAACATGGTGAAACCCCGTCTCTACTAAAAATATAAAAATTAGCCA